TATTAAGAAAATACGATAATATACATATTGTAATATAAGTTTACCAAAATATTCAGAGCATACACAACTTAACCCTTTAATTACATGCCAACTGCCATTTACATAACAAAATGACCTACTGATTAAGTTGCTTCTGATCTGGTGGTTGCAGGAGTAATGCTGTCAAGCTGCTTCACCTGTCTCGTCTACTTTCTCAGATCCTACGTATGAAACACTCACACGCTAAGTCATCGACTTAATGAGGCAATGTAATAATAATAACAAGGCAATGTAATGAAAATGTCATAATGATATGAAATGAGATGAAAGCTTATACTTAATCAAGGTAGTTTACATCACCATTATCCTTACCTGTAAGCATATTACTTTAACATTCATGAATTTGTATTAATGAGTTTATTGGCCCATGATATTATATTGAGAACCTAAGGTATCTGAGTAATGTGAGGTTGTGCACTATGCTGTCACCACAGCTCGTATAAATGCACCGAAGTGCCGCGTAGAATTGCATCGTAGTGCCATATAATAATGTCCATAAGGACCACATAGAATTCCTTAAGAATCATATACATATGCTAGGGATCACATATGTGTCTCACCAGACTTCACACATGTTCCAAAGAATATATATATATCCCGAAAGACCGCGTAGAATATTGTCCCGAAGGATCGCGTAGACCCTCTACCCTTGGCATGCCAACTATACCTATAGTTCTCATCTACATAACATGGGCTTTTACATTTCACGTAGTCTATATCGCGTAGACATGTAAATTCTTACCTTTTCACATAGCTCATAACTTTTCCCGCATATTCATGTCATGTAATGCATTTTATATGAATTCATGTCATGTCTCATAATACAGAATATGCTCATGTACCAAGATATAAAATCTAGACTTATCACAAGTCTAGAATTGAGTATATTTCTATAATTATGCTATGCATATGCACTCACCTATATTTCTTTGCCTTTTCCTCGATCGATCCTACTTGTAGATTGTTCCAGAACTCGTGTAGGCTCAGTATCTAAAACATAATTTTCAAGATGATTATCAGATGTCTATGTCTTGAAATTAATCTTTAATAGCCTACCAATTTAAGGAATTAATAGTTTAGTCTTTCTCTTTTTTTATATGGGGGAATCGGTTCCCCCCTGGGGGTATCGATTCCCCTCTAGCATTCTGGAAATTCATATTCGTTGAGGGGGTATCGATTCCCCTTGAATGGGTACCGATTCCCCTAGTCCATAAATCCTATTTTGAGCTCGAAAATCATCTCATTTCAGCTCAAACCTTCATATTTCACTCCCTTTAATACTCTTAGCTTTCATACACTTACTTAAACTAATTATTATCCATTCAATACCTCTAAAACTAAAAAAACTAATCATTCATATAGAATTTAAGAATCTTACTCAAATTCCCACTTGTTCTAATTTTAATTCTATCACCTCATACTTCTTAATTAGCTTGATGACAAGTCAAATCCAGCTTCTAATTCTTATTATGACCTTTAATCTAAGATTTCATTCAATGGCTCTCAACCTTTAATCTCCCTTAACTTGCAATTCCTTGAGTTATAGGATCCTTGTTTCTCTCCATCATATTTCCTACATCTTCATTAACCAAACCCATGCTTAACTCATAAGAATTAATCCAAAAGAAGACAACTCACCTTTGCTTGCAAGCTTCACGGTTGGAGAAGGAAGAGAAGAAGAGAAAAGTCTAGAATGTTTATCTCAAATGCCCACGTGATTTATAAAATCACCCTAAGAAATATTTAATTATTTCACTTACTAAATTACTCTTTTGCCCTCTTAATTCTCCTTCTTTATAATTCAATCCTACACCAAATAACTCAAATAGGTCATTGAACTCTTCTATCATTTTACTTAAATCACCAAATGTTGAAACTTTGCAAATTAATCACTAACCCAGCATGGAGGATGTTACAAGTGCACCAGAGATAATCCTCATAATCTCATCTTTTGCCCTCACTTCTAAACCTTTTGACTCTAAGGTTCCCACAGAGATGAGATTTCTCATTAAATCTGGTACATAATGGACACTTGTTAAGGTTCTGATTGATCCATCCTGATTCCTCAAGCGAATTGAACCAATCCCAAGTGTATCAAGAGGGGAATTATTTGTTGTGTAGATAATTCCACCTTTTAGTTCTTTAAAATCAAAGAACCATTCTCTATTGGGGGTCATATGGTGGCTACAAGCTGAATCTAACAGCCATGAACTAGAACAGTTGGTTGATGGCGTAGCAGCGAATGCGAAATCTGAATTTGCATCATCATATTCGACCATATTTGATTCTGAGACAGCCTTCCCCCTTTCAGGTTTGCCTTTATTCTTTAGCCTGGGACATTCTTTCTTCCAGTGCCCTTTTTCTTGACAAAAGGCACTTTCATCTTTGCTCAATCTGGACTTTGACTTCGATCTCCCTCTGCTTTCTTTATTTTGACTCTTCAAACGGCCTCTAACAACAAGAGCTTCTGCTTCGACACTTGTGTTTTCTTGTTTGTCTTTCTTTCTCAATTCATAACTATACAAGGCGGCAGTTACTTCACTGAGAAACACATCAACCTTCCCATGAAGTAGAGTAGTTTCAAGATACTCAAACTCATCAGGAAGTGATCCCATCAACATCAGAGCCAGATCTTCATCTTCAAAAGTCACGTCCATATTCATCATATCAGTCACCAGCTGATTAAAGCTAGTAATGTGATCATTCATAGTGATACCTGGTACATAGTTGAAGCGGAACAATCTCTTTTTCATATAGAGTTTGTTCTGACCGTTTTTCTTCAAAAATTTCTCCTCCAGTGCCTTCCACAATTTACTTGCAGAAGTTTCCTTAGAAAATGCATACTTCTGCTCTCTAGAAAGACACGATCGAATAGTACCACATGCCATTATATTGATCCTCTTCCATTCTTTCTTCTCAACATCATATGGTTTCTCTCCTTCAATAGCAATGTCTAGACCCTGCTGAAATAGGGCATTTAGAACCTCACTTTGCCACATGCCGAAATGACCGGTGCCATCAAAAATCTCCACTGCAAATCTAACATTTGTCACAGCATTTCTTGCCAAAATTGAAGATGAAGAAGCGTCTGCCATTTCTGCTACAAATTCTATTTAATAGCTGCCAATACGGAATGTCAATTATCCCAAGGAAATTTTTTCTGATGTGGAAGATCAGCCTAAGCCTCAACCACAGAGCATACTAAAATAAACAAGAGCGCTGATACCAATTGTTGTGGAATTCGGGTTAATTTCCACCAATAACAGATTCACCTTCGAAACTATTATCTAGGTGACTAGTGTGAAAACGATTGTACTAAAAATCACCCCAAAGTATATTCCCAGGAAAGAGGAGGGGTCACAATGGTCCCTCTTAAAACCCACTTTCCTTAGACAGAACTACCAAGACAAGTAATTTTAATAGGACAATAATTAACAACAACTATACACGACAATAGCTATTAAATAGACATAAAAGAGAACACCAAAATATTTCACTAATAGAGGAAATATTACAAAGAGAAAGAAAGAATACAAATAGCCTTTAATATAGAAGAAGGCTTATATTTGTGGGATGCTAAACTAAGGAGGAGGAGGGCTCTATTTATAACAAAAGAATTTCTCCTCCTCCTTATACAAAACCAATGTGGGATATTTACCAAAAACCAACAGTCTTGTAACGATTTGACGATTTGACTTACTCGACTGATGGCCTTCTCCATCGTTTCCAATTCAATGAATGCGTATATAAATCAGTCTAAAGAGTTTGTTGATGTATTATTTCAAACACTTACTCGACAATATAATATAAACGAAGTCTCGATTCATAAAATATACTCAAACAGTTATGAGATAAGATTTTGTCATATTTCAGTTAACAGATTAATGTCCAACTTAGGACCATCAATATTTCAACAAAAAATATGAATTTGAAATATATAAATAATCGGGTGATCATTTTGTAACTTTTAATAGTCAAGGGACTCAACAAAGTAACGTCCTATAATTGATGGGTCGTTTTATAACTGTTAATAGTCGAGGGACTCAACAAAACAATGTCTTATAATAGATGTGTCATTTGTGGACTTTACCCAATAAAAGAATGGCTCAATACAAAAATAAATGCACAAACTATACATCAAAAAATGTTTTAGTGCCTAAATAATTTTTCGCTAAAAATATGTGTATAATATTTCAAACGTTACACTTTTAGGTGCCTGAACGTTAACTATCGCTAAAAATATCTGTTAAGTGGCACATATCACGTTCTGGTAATTTTGAAAAATTATTTAAAAAATTGAAAAAAATTATCAAAAAAAGTCCTTCCTTTCCCCCTTTCCCTTTCCAATTGCAAAAGTCATCGGCCGGCCAACGGTGACCGTCACTGCCATTGTCATCATTACCGGCGTTGACCCCTGATGAAACCTCCGATGGCATTTCTTTGTAATATGCTACCGTTTGCCATGGAGAAGCGTTTAAAAGTCGTTGGATTTTAAGCCATTGTTGTTGTTTTTTGTCGATTCCGGCCGATTTCGACATTCACAAGTCACATCGTCGCCACCATTCGAACCACCGTGCTATTCCAACCAAAACCCAACCATTCAACGACTACGATGATGATCGGAGATGGTCGACGACCGTTGGTGATGGGGGTTAAAATGAAAGATTTTAGTTTTTTTAAGATTTTTTATAATTTCATAAAAAAGTTGGATTTTTATAAATAAATTAAATTTTTATTTTAAATTAAAAATATTTTTATTATTAAAAAATTAAAAAAATAAAAAAATAAACGGTATGTACCTAAAATTATAACTGATAAAACATTAGGTACTTATTTTTAACAAAATAATTTCATTAAACATTAAAACATTTTCGAAACATAGTTTGAACACTTTTTTGTGTTAAGCATAAAAGAATTAATAACTCTAAATTATTTTTTAATGTTATTATCTTCTCGTTGTACATTGTACATGAAAAAACAATTGAATACACAAACAAAGGACTAAAAGCATGTAAATGAAAACACAGAGCGTCGGTCAAAGCTAGCGTAGCATTTTGTTTCGTTCATCCAAAACCATAAACAAAGTTAAGAAAATGGATACTAAATGAAGAAATTGTTTATGAATCTCTCCATTTTCAACAATTGGTTCTTCGTCCTCGTTTCTAATCAGCCCATCCTTACTCAATTCCCTGTAATGAAGCGACCATAACAGAGCTTTTTCATACGTCGTTCTGAAACTCTGGCTATCGTTCCACCGCCGCATGAACTTATCAACCTAAGAATTTTTCAATGTTCGATAAATGTGAGGGGAAAAAAGAGTTAATTTTCTAATAAATTTAATGAAAATTAATTTGGATTCATTCAGACGTACCTGTCTGCTAGAGAGTTGTTCAAGGGCTTTCACATCTTTTCTTCTTGCTAGTTCATTGGCGTTGCGCATCAATGAAACATATTCGTTGTACGAGCCATTCTAAATAAATAGAGTTTGTATTAGTGGGTGCAAAATTATTTAATCTTTACGTAAATTGTATAATCGAAATTAGATATGACGAAGGATCGGATTGTTCGTTTGATTTGGATTTGAATAAAAATATTAGAATCGTAAATGAAAGAAATGGCCTACCGCTTCATCTTCTTCCCTCCGGGCACTAACAACGAAGTCAAGTAAGTCAGACTTTCTATCGATCAGAGCCTGGAAATTTTTGGATAATTCATCATCTTCTTTCTTCAGAGCTTCAAGTCCGTCCTCTAAGCACTTGATTTCAGCCATCACTTCATGACGTTCGGGTCTCAGTTCATCTGGTATCTTATTTAAAACCTGCACTTGAGATTCCCATTGATTAATATCACTACTGATTTGGAGAAGGAAAATTGACGTGAAAATATGTATGAATTTATACTTCAATTTGCTCCTCCATGGCCTTTACGGAACTTAAAGGGTCCCAGATGTTCCCTTTTGTAGCAGCAGCAGCCTTGGCTTCGTCAAGTCTGTCTTCCATCTGTTCCACTTGTTTCAGTATCTGCTCGAACTTTTCCCTATTGTTGCTCTGAGAATACCAGAAGAACTGTTGAAGGTGAAAGTAATTAGCAACGAATTAGAGCTACTGTTTAAACCCTAAACTTATATGTAACTGATGTGGTTTGTAGCTTACAGCACGGGGAATCTCATTGCGCAAGCTTGACATTAAGAATCTTGGTTGGTGGGTTGAAGAGGAAGAGCCATTGACATCGAGCTTATCTATGGCGGCTCTCAGAAAACCAACCACCATCGTCGTCCATTCAACGCCGGTTTCAAGTAGAGCATGGCGCCATTTTTTCCTATCTAGCTCTGAACAGATTTTGTCTCGACGTGACTGTGATTCCCAATGTTCAGAATCAGAGCAAATATAAAAATCTTCAATATATATATATATATATATGTGTGTGTGTGTGTGTGTGTGTATGTATGTTTTGAAAACATACCATGATTTCCATGATTTTGTAATCGACGACACGCTCCTTCTCTCGGTCCAATTGTTGACACTGTTGATCAGCCCACTGGAGTTTTGAGTCCTTTTCTGGGTCTTTGTATGGCCAGAATTTGACGAAGTAGAATTGATGGGTCTTCTTTGAGAACTCTGTGCTACTGCTGCCTTCATCTTCATCTGTTGCAGGGATTGAAATCAAATCGCTTTGCATTAGCCCTTTAGACATCTTTTGTGCCTTTTCTGATTGAAAGACAGATTATGAACACGATTGCAGACATGAAAGGGTTGACTATAAAAAAAACTATGGTGTGGTTGAAGGAAACTGCTCTCTTGCACCCCAAGCCATGCGAGCTGTCTTGCATCCCACACAATACTGGTCAACGCTTCAGATGTAATGTATATAATACATCAATTTTGTAAAATATAATTGGTAATCGATAAGCAGATGCACATGGAAATGGTCGACTGAAGCCACGTAAACAAATAAATAATCAATTTGGAACCGAACAAGATCGGTGTTAATATGTGGTAATGAAATAGGATGTTGACCTTCACTTTTCTTTCTCGTGATGCCGGGAAGTTATGCGGGAAATGCTCTTTTGTTTGTGCAACAGACAAAAACCAGTCACGTGATTTACAACCATTAGCATATAAAACAGATACAGTCAACTCTGTAACATCTACTTAAGATTCAACAGGAGGGTGATTAAGATTAACTTTAAATTTCTCAATTGGAACGAAAAAGATCAAGTGCTAAAATGGTCAAACATTTATAAACCTTCACTTTCTCCTCCCTTTTGTCTCCTGCTAATTTACCACTTCAAAAGCCCTTACACATTGTTTTTTCTTTCGAGAAGAAATTATGATCTTCACAATTAACTAGGGATGGCACAGGTCGGGTTTAGGTCGGGTTTGGGCCGGATTTCGGTTAATCTGACATGACTCGAAAATTTTACATCTTCTATTCGATCCGACCTGACCCTAATATTTTACATCCTCTACTCCACCTAATTTGACCCGAAAATTTTACATCTTCCACCCAACCCGATTTTTTTAAATAAATTCGAACCCGACCCGAAATAATATATTTATTAAAAATATTATTTTATTCATAAAAATAGAGATTTAATTGAAAAAAATATATAGAGGAGTATTATTATAATTATCCATAAATATAAATAATATAATTATATTTTTTTCTTGGGTTAGGTCGGATCGGATATTTTTCACCCTAAACCCGACCCGAACACAACGTCTAAAAAATCTGACTCAATCCGACCGAACTTGATCATTTTAAAAAACCTAATTCAATCGAATCGGTCGAGTCGAAATCCATGCCAATCCCTATAATTAACTGAGTTTCTATCAGGAGCTCATAAATTCTCTCAAAATGATAACTCGCTCAAGAATTTTGCAACACAAATTTGCAAAGTAAAAAGTTGAGTGTTGACTAGACTGCGTGGAGTTTTATTTTCAAAGTGAGAAAATGTTACAGGTGCGCTTAGCTAAGAGGAAGATTAGGGTAGGCTTTGGCCGTTGTTTTGTTTTGTTTTTTTGTTTTTAATTTTCTTACGGTAAGATTTAAACTAATCTCAACTTATCAAAATTACTCTCATTTATTATCTTGTTGATCTTTTGTGTTTAAAACCTTCATACTAGAATTGGATAAACTATTTACATTCGAAGATATTTTTCTATACGATGCTCGAGTTTGATTTGAAATTATCTATGATCTTTTAGTAGTTTGATCATCTCTTGTAATTCGTTTATTAATATAATCAGATCTAATTGTATCTATATTTTATTTGAGTTTTTGGATGAACTTTTTAATTTTTTCTTGTATGATCTTTTGTATGGACTTAAAATTATTATAAACTTTGATTATAATTTTAAATATTTTTTCTTTTAATAAAACTAGCTATTCTTATTTGAATAAAAATGTATATATAAACTCTACCGAGTTTATTTGGGTAGGATGAAAAATAATTACATTCTATTAGTTTGCTTGGTAAGAAAATTGAAAACTGAAAATTGAAAAAAAAAACATAAATTTGAATTTACTTGCATTTCTTTCCTCTTAAGCATGGTTTGTGGGCAAAAGTGTCAAAATAATGATGTGGGATTTTTTTATTCCCAAACTAAAGCACTAATCTGATTAATTCTTGATATAGGGTGTTTTCTACAGGAATTTGGGATCTCTCGGGGTGTTGGATTATTTCTTGGATCTCTAGGCGTCTTTAATATAAATGCAGAAAAAAGTGGCATTTTTTCACAAATATCACCTTAACATAAATTAATTACTTGTTAGGCACTGTTTAAGAATATTTTACGAATCTAACAAATTTTTAAATACTTTCTATAAAATTATTTATGCATTAAATTACACAATACAATTTTGTCTACCAATTACCACTTGACACTTTTGATGCGTTTTTGACTCTTTCAAAATCATATACGTATAGTATATTCTAGGAAAACTTAGAGGGTAAGTAATTTAAATATTTTAATTTTTGCAGTTATAAAATGGAAAGCGGTCTGTTTCGTTATATTTAACATTTTGTTAGTATTTTATTTAATTATTGTATTATTTGATTTTTTAATTATTTTATTTAAATATTTTATTTTTTTTGCAGTTATAAAATGGAAAGCGGTCTGCTTCGTTTGGATGGAAATCTGTATAAGTTAACGGAAACAATGATGTTGGATATCTGTACTGAAGCGACGACATTCTCCTAGTTGAGAGGATTGCTGTGAATGTTTACCGGTTGAGAGCATATTTATAGCCGAGATAAAAGTTTAAAAGTCGAGAAATACGAATATAATTATTCAAGGCACGACCCATGCACCGTAAACATCATTGTTTCCGTTAACTTATACAAATTTCCATCCAAACGAAGCAGACCGCTTTCCATTTTATAACTGCAAAAAAAAATAAAATATTTAAATAAAATAATTAAAAAATCAAATGGTCTGCTTCGTTTGGATGGAAATCTGTATAAGTTAACAGAAACAATGATGTTGGATATCTGTACTGAAGCGACGACATTCTCCTAGTTGAGAGGATTGCTGTGAATGTTTACGGGTTGAGAGCATATTTATAGCCGAGAGAAAAGTTTAAAAGTCGAGAAATACGAATATAATTATTCAAGGCGCGACTCATGCATCGTAAACATCATTGTTTCCGTTAACTTATACAAATTTCCATCCAAACGAAACAGACCACTTTCCATTTTATAACTGCAAAAAAATAAAATATTTAAATAAAATAATTAAAAAAATCAAATAATACAATAATTTGCTAGATTTGTAAAATATTCTTAAACAGTGCCTAACAAGTAATTAATTTATATTAAGGTGATATTTGTGCAAAATGTCAATTTTTTCCTGCATTTCTATTAAAGACGCCTAGAGATCCAAGAAACAATTCAATACCCCTAAAGACGCCGAGAGATCCCAAATTCCTGTAGAAAACATTCTATATTAAGAATTAATCAGATGAGTACTTTAGTTTAGGAATTAAAAAATCCCACATTATTATTTTGGCACTTTTGCCATGGTTTGTGGTCTTCCCTGAAACTTCGTTCCTACGACTTAATTTCAAGGTTTTTAAATTTTGGCTTAATATCAAAATAAATATCCAAACAATACCGTTTTTCCTAAATAGGTGTATAAATTATTTTTTGACTCAGTCAGGTGCCTAACGTTACAAAAGTTATCCATTTAGGTGCTCGAGCCGTCAACGACATTAATTTTCGCCGTTAAGTGACATGTGTCATAATATGGTGATTTTGAAATTTATTTTTTAAAACAGTCCCAAAATAAGTGCCTAAACTATACTATTTTTCCAAAATAGGTGCCTAAAATTTTCTTATATTATAAAACAACCCAAAATCTCAAATCCTAACCTTAATCCGTTGTCGACACCCTTTCCGACCACGACCACCGCCATCGACGTAGTCACTGCCATCCTCCTGCTCATATGTTGTCGTATTTTCCGACGATTGACCGTCGAAATCGCGTGGGATCATGATTTTCATCCTAGGGTTTGCAGGATATAAAACGTTGATTCATTGTCGATCGGCCGTCGATCGATCACGATTTCAAGGGGTTTTGGTCGCCAGAGCGAAGGTCAAGTGGATCTTCATCGACAGTAAAAGGCGGCCGACGTGCGTTTATGGGTTAAAATGAAGGTTTTCAAAGTTTTTAGTTTATTTCAAAATTTGTGTTTCCTTTTTTTAAAATATAATTTTAATTTTTTAATTTTAAATATATTTTTTAAAATTGTCAAGTTGTGACATATGTCACTTAATAAGAAAATTAACACCGATAATAGCCGAACCTAAATGGGTACATTTGTAACATTAGGCACCAGAATGAGTCAAAAAAATTTAGGCACCTATTTGGGTAAAGAGATAATTTGAGCACTTACTTTGGTATTAAGCCTTAAATTTTTTAACTGTTGCATAGATTCGTTAAAATTTCTTCACTTATTACACAAACAAAAATCATTAACCAAGTAAAACACCCAACCGATAGATATCACTTACAAGAATAGCCTAAGTTGGGGAAATGTGACGTCAAAAAGGAAAAATATTTGGGGCAACGAGGTCGAATGAAAGACCAACATGCAGTTCTCAATTTAAGATAAACCTAACGGTCATTACCAACATATTGTTCTTTAAATGTATAAAAAAAATCAATTCTCCATATACCGAAAAGAAAATAATTCAGTCCTAGGAAAGCACCCTTTTCGAACGACTAAATTTCAGCAACATGAAAAAACATTAAGATTTCTCAGATGGCAACCGCAATCCTTCCAGCTACTTGGTCCAGATCTCGCTGGCCGTTTGATGTGATTTTCCTACCACTGATACAAAGAATATAAACTTTAGTTGATACTAACAATAACAGAAGTCAGTAATATGCTATTATTCACATATAATTCTACTTATTTAATCTATTACTCAACTCCAAAGTATCTAATACTGTTGTAGACTTGTACTTATGTCTAAATATAAGTCGGACACAAGTATATAAAAAGAAAATGAATATTACGAATAAAAAGGTTTATAGTCAGTGTTGGCAATCATACAAGTTTCGAAGTCCTCCAGCCTAACAATGTTTTCGTTATGTTTCATTCTCTAATCTTCTAGCACATATCATATACCATCCAAAATCTAACATTTCAATCATATTCCAATTTCTTGCTATGATCCTAAAACTTAT